TTTGAAAAGGGCGGAATGATCACTGCGCATGCGCTGACCCACTTTGTTGGCGCACCTGCGCACAGCTCGGAGCGGAATAAAAACTGCGCCACAAGCTGAAGACAATACCGGGCGTTGGCCGCGCATGCGCACAACCTTCAGGACGACAGCTAAGGGGAATCAGCCGACCGGACCCCCGCGCATGCGCGGTATAGAGAGTCTCGTGACACTTCCGCAAGGGCGTTGCCTGCCAGCCAAGCCCGGTCACCCCGCCTTTCCCCTTCGCGCACGCGCGCTGGGGCCCCTTCCTAACTGCGTCACAACCGTCGCCGATTTTAAAATTGATTTTCGAGCTTGGATCCCGCTCGCCCATCGAGAGGGGACCCCGGCGGTGTGTTTCGCTAGCGGTTTTAAATCGGTTCTCGAGTAACCGGCCGTTGGGTAAGAGGGAGGAGGGGGAGCGGAGAGGACGGAAGCTTTGTTCTCGCGCCGCAGCGCGAGCCGCAGGGGGGCGGGGCCGGAGGAGGGCGGGGCCCCATATAAAAAGCGCCACTCGCGCGGTGGTCGGCCATTCTGGGGTCTGGTTAGAGGTGAGTACTGAGCTCTTAGGAGCGCTAGGCTGGGGTATAGGGCGGGGGCGGGGGGAGGAGTGGTTTGGGGGGCTGCTGTTAGCCCTTTTGAATGACCTTGATCATTAATAACTTCTGCTGCTAATTAACCCCCTGGGTCTGAGGCAGGGAACTGGGGCTTTTAATTGAAACTGGGCTTCAGCTGAACCAGGAAACTCCACCCCCCCCCAGGGGTGGTTCCCCGATAATCCCCATTTTCGTTCCCAGACCCACCCACCCCTGTTGGTCCCACAGATTTGCAAAAATTTATAACAGGCCAGATCCCAGCGGTTTAAAAGCAAATCTGAAAAATTAAGTTTTCGCCGAATTTTGTATTTTTGTGGTTAAAAATTTGAGGGGTGGGGTGCCTTTTATGTCTAAAAATGCTCATTGCGGTGTTTTTTTTCCCTTCTCTTCTGTTCTAGGTTGGTTTGGTCTTGAGACTGGCGTCGAATTTGCTACGAGAAAGAGAAAAATCCCCCCCCACTTGGTCCTTGGAAGACACAAAAAAGCAGCCACCATATTTTCGACCGTCCTTGGGAAGCCGTTCAAATTCTTTGTGACCTGAAGGAAACTGCCACTTAAACATACCAAAAGACCAAACAAAAAATAATTAGCAACAACCTGTCCTGATCCTTTTTTTTTAAATCTAGCAACTTTTTGCATCTCTTTATCTCGACAAACCACCAAAAATCCCCAAAAAGTTGCTGTATTTTTTTAAAGCCATGACCAAAAACAAATCAATTATTTTTTTTCTTTAAAATACACCACTTTAATCAAACAAAAAATTAACAAACTTTGAAGCGCTGTCGACGAGAAAAATTATTGGATAGTAAGTGTCGAATTTTCAACCAACTGACCAAAAAAAAAAATTTCCTCCTCTGTACCAAAAAGAATTAACGCCAGGAAGAAACCAAAAATGTGTATATAATTGAGAGGAAAGTAGGCTTTGTTTCAAGATGGTTAACCCTTAAACGTCAGGCATTTTGCAAAATATGAATGCATATTTATAAGGAGTACGATGGTCTCTTAGACAAATCCATCGTCTCCACGAATATGAAGGGTTAATGAGCTCCCATACAAAAGATGGCGGTGACTGAGCCATAAAGTATCGCTTCTTTGTGTGGGAGACAAGGAAAATGAGCAATCTGTACATAAAGATTGCAGGGTAAGGCTATAAGTGGCAAGGGAAGCAAGAAAGATCTATGGCATTAGACGATGGGTTGGTTAAAAAAATAGTTAACCTTACAGTGATCTGTCAAATCCATTTCTATATTTTTAAATTCAATGTAATTGTTAGTTTTTTTGGTGTGATTTTATTTTTAGAACCCGGAGAACCACTTTAATAATGTATTTGCATATATATGTAGTAGCTGGGCAGAAAGGGCAATCTTTAAGAATTGGGTGGCAATCTAGAAATAAAGATTGCAAGAGTTGGTTTTAAAAAAAAAACTTTCAAATTTTGTTAAAATTCAGTAACTTATTTTTTAAAAGATCAACATGAAATTTGATAACATTTAGACTCCAATTATAACGAAATCTAATGTGCTTTTAAAAATGTGATTCTCGCTTTCTATTTTCCCCTCCCTACTAAAGATGGCGAAGCTGTTTTGTCTCCTTGTCTTTGTTCCTGGCAAGCAGCATATTTTTTTGTTTTTGGTTTTTGCAGGTTGATCCCATTTTTACCCCCCCTTTTTTTGCCCCTCCCATACTTTGGAGGGGGACAAATTCGCCCCCCCCCATGATGATGGGGAGATTCTGTAGTGAATCTTCGGCTCACATTAACAAGAATTGGATTCCCCCTTTGTATTTTTAATAGGTGTAGCATTGTAGGATTGAGATTATAGGATACAAAGAGGGGTGTGTGTGTATATATAGATATGGTGGGGGCTGTATTGTTATATGAATTCCCTCTTAATAGATACTGAAGCCTTTTTGTTTGTGTTTTTTTTTCCCCTCCCCTCTCCCTTGTGCTTCTAAAATGGCGTCTGCCTCATTTTGTCTCTTCCTGTACAAAAGCGAGAACCCATGGGCAGGGAGGTGATGTAACGAGCTCTGAGCAAACTCCTCCCACCGACTGGCTTGCGTTTGGAGGCATGGGATGGAGGGAATGAGATGCGGGCGGGGGGGAAGAAGGAGGGGAATGCACCGAGCGCGCGTCCCCCACCCCCCCCTTCCCCTTTCTAAACTGTTCTAACCAAATTCCGCTCCTGGCTGTTTCATCTACAGGAATTCTCTAGGTACAAGTTAATATATGAGTACAAAGTATGATCCTAAGTCCACCAGGTTTCTTTCTTTTTATAGGTTTCAACATAACCCCTGAGTTTGGACCTCCTCTCTCTTGTCTGTCTTATCTGGCTGTATTTGTAACTTACATTGGTTTCTATCCAGCTTCCATGCTCAGTAAAGCAGACGGTCTGCTTTGTCTCCCTCCTACTTTGGGATTTCACTGGTACCTTTTTTTAGACTTTCCAAAGGGAAGTGGGGGAGCATTCCTTTTGATCAGTTAATGTAATCTGATTTGTTATAACAGATGTGAAATGCTATCACTGGACTCCAAAGGTGCTGTACATAACCCACAAATCTGTTGTCAAGGATATTCTGGGGGTGGGAGGGGTGCGTGCATTTTCTCCAGCCACACACACCCCAAGTGTCTTGTTGGGCAGGGGAAAGGTAAAAAGTCTTGTATTCAATTAATTTGCCACATTCCACAGTGCCATAGTTCCTGTACAATGTACTAGGAAAAGAAGTGATCATTAGGAAAAAAGGGAAGCCCTCATCAAAGGGAGGGGAACAGCCACAAATCACGGGTAAGCAAACCTTTCTGGTATTAATTACATTTCACAACCTTCATTTCTGTTCCAGACCACTTTGCTTATTTCTTTTTTGATTCTTCTTCCATTGTCAACTCCGCGTAGTGACAGCAACTGATGCATGCAGAGGCTATAAGGATATTTTGAGTCTTGATTTAAGAGCTTGCCAATCTGTTAAGACAACTACAAATTTAATTTTTTGAGACTTTGCATTAGAGAGATCTGGTTTCTTTTACCAGAGCCAACCCATTGGATCTGCATGAGCGTCCGATAGCTTTTAACCAAGGAGAGGCTGCTTTTGTGACTGAGAGGTTTTTTTTTTAACTGCTGGATTTTTTTTCTGGACTGTTTCTAACATGAAATGGGACTTCACAAGGCAGATTTTTCAAACCCAGCAGGTGAAATACCTGCTGCAGTGTCCAGTGGTAGCATTTCATGCAATGTAAAGCAATTCAGCATTTTAGTCTCATGGGGACTGAACAATATACAGCCTGTAGTGGCCTGATCTTGAAGCATTGAGCTGCAATCCTGTTGAAGTCATTAAGAGTTGTCCTGGGTGCTAAGTTTCTCTCGGGCTTGGGTCTTAGCTGCTGTATGTATAG